TGGGATGAGGCGAGTGGAACTACCGTTACTATTGTGAAGGATACTACGGATATTTGCTTGGCTATCGGCAGTCTACCACTGCTGCCACTGCTTTTTTCACGTTTTTTACAGTGTTACGATGGACAACTCTCGGATCATGACGAGGAAGTGGAGCGGCGGTCACTTATACGRGGCGTCTTAGTTTTTAGTGAGACCTGTGAAGGTGCAGTTGGTACTAGCAGGATGACGCTGCTTAGCTGCTGTTCGATGTCTTTTTGTACTTTTTATAGCCGGGTTCATTGACTTTTTGTTTTTTCTCCTTCTTTTTTCTATAGGTTTTCTTTGTTCAAAGTATCCTCCCTCCTCTTCTTCCTCCTCCTCTTGTACTGTTCCGGTTTGAGTCGACTTGTCGTTGCATTGGAGTCTCTTGTCAATCTGTCTTCGGATGATTGATACTTAGTTTATCTAACAGGGTAACCGACGTAGAGGTAACACTACGGTTTGGTGGCTTTGCGTTCATCATGGCAAACAACTACAATAGCAACAATGGTCCTTTCAGAGGGAATTGCTACAACTGTGGCCAGTCTGGCCATATCTCGAGGTTCTGTCCCGTAGCTGATAGGAGGTTCAATGGTGCTCCGACGAGTTCTGCGATAGTACCGTTCAATGCGTCTGTTGCTGCGAACGCATCGTATAGTGGTCAGTATGCAGGAGCAAGCTATCTTAAACAGCGAGTTGCTACGTTAGAGGACACTGTCTTTAAAATTAAGACAAAGCATGAGGCAGATGAGGCAAAAGAGAAAGCAGACACGAAAGAAGCTGAGAAGAAGAAGCGCGAGCAGGAAGATGAAGAACGACGTGAGCGAGAACGACGAGATAGGGAGTCTTTTCACGGAACTATTACTAAAGAACTGTCCACAAAGTTGGATGCCGTGGTCGGTGCAATAGAGAAGAAAGTTGACGAAAGTGAAGTAACTCACCTTAAGGCTGAGATCGAGCGGCTGAAGTGCGCACAGTCGGCTGCTGGTCCTTCGTCATGTGTTATCAAGCCACCTACCGAGATCGAGCGGGAGCAGGCGGATTTGACAATTGGAGTCCGAGCGGCGGATTTGACAATTGGAGTCCGAGCGACGTTTTGCGATTCTTGAAGACGAAATTGCCAAAGCCAATCGGCTACGAGACGAAGTTGTGGCCGACGCCGAGGCATGGAAGATCGAGGCCCTTCGGCCTGGCAACAAACGAGGGAACCTGGTTATTGGAACTCCAGCCACTGCACGAACGCGGCCACGAATGGCATCCACACCGGCTGCCGCTACTGCTAAACGAATGGTCGATGAAAATTTGAAGGGCGTGGTGGAACGACACATCCAGGAGGTCGATTTACTCAAAGAAATGAGGGTGCGTGAGGTCAACGCACGGAGGGAGGTTGAACAAGAATTGGAAAGAGTTAAAGAACAACGATTTCGTCAAAACGGACATTTTATATTTTTTGAACGAAATTGAAATTGTCATTTCCGTGGTGATTTAGGGTCAAAAATACATTTGAATTTGGGGTATGGGTACACATGCAAAGGTAAGGGGTAAGGGGTAAGGCCCGTAAGGGGTAAGGGGTAAAGGGTAAGGGATAAGGGGTTTGAAGGTAAGGGATAAGGGGTAAAAGACAAGTGTATAGAAGATGACAAACCATATGGAAAGGGGCAATTATCAAGTCCATGTCACTTATTATGATGTCATTCGACCAGTGCTGCACCTCTCGCTCTTGATATCTCATTTCGCTGTCGAAAAGTCTGGCGAAGAAAAACGAGCTCAACACTGATATTCTAGGAATGCGACCCTTTCCGATTCTGATCACGGTTTCGTTCTCGGAGTCGCATTCTACGTGTGTGACTCTACACCAGTTGTCTAGTGCGATGAGGTTCAGGTAGAAGTTGACGACGTTGTCATTTAACCAGTTCCGCTCGTCGACTAGTAAAATCAATTCGTCTCGAGTTAGCTTCAATACTTCGTTCGTCCCGTGATTGTGTGTGCTCGCTATTGGGAACCTTTTCCCGTACTCCCGGCATACATGTGAGAGTGCTTTCATCTCCTTCTCTGATAAAGACGATATTGCGAGGCGCATTGTCCACCCTCTTTTGCACTTTCTTGTATCCGTTGTTGTAATTTGCACTACACACGACAAGCACGACGAATACGACATCGACGGCGGTGTTAACAACGGTGACCGAGGTGGACAGGGGTGTAAAAAATGGTCGCCCTTACAGGAAAGTAAAAAACGGGTGGGCAGGCGGTGTAAAAGACGGGGAGGGCGACCATTTGAGATACTTGTACATGGGCAAGTGCCTTAGCATAACATGCTTAACGGAATGATGTATTCACAATACATCATCAATGTTTCGCTAAACTTACACTTAGATGGACGACAACACTTCGGGACCAATCAATCCTGACTCCTGCCCCCTTTCATCACCGTACCCCAACGGCATACATGCATATACACAACGTAGCATATCGACGAATATAGAGAGACACACACGCATACTACGACACACTCTTGTTCACCACACAATTTTCTTGTCACTAATTAAAAGGTCAAATCCCGAAAATTGAACACTAACGAGTCTGCAGGTCGATTGTACACAGGAACAAATTCCGCCCACAAACCAAGATTTCAAACAAATGAGCACACACACGAAAACATTAAATTTCCCCGCGAAGTGGATTCCCCTCAAGTTCATTCCCTGTCTCACCCCTCATTTTCTGCACGCGTGGGATCGCTCACGCCCTTTCCGCCTTCTACCCCATCCTCATCGTCCGTCGTCATGTCCTCAATATTGCAAGAACGTGGAGACCCCCCTGCATTTCCCCCATTCCCGCCATCCCCTGTGACCCCTCCTTGTGGTGTTGTTGTACAATGTGCGTCATCTTTGCTAGTGCATGTGGGCGGATGCAACGACATCCCCGTGACGCCCATCCCAGCAGTGGACTCTGACACCATCTACGATGTGCCTGCCAGCGCCGCACCTGTCGCGAGGAGACTCCCGTATGTGGCGCCCGCATCCGCCGGCTTGTCGAGTGACACTTTTTCACCTTGTGATGTATCCCCCGTTGCGACAGAGATGGCTCCGATGGTGTTTTTGCCTGCGGGCGTGTTCCCCGCCTCTGGCAACGGAGGCTTCACGCCCAACGTCGTCCCGCCATCTTCCCTTTGTTCACCCATCGTGTTCCCTGTTGCCGCCTCGGGCACAGGGGCGGCATCTTCTCGGGAGTCCACGTCCATGCTCTTGAGCGCGGCGGCACGCTCAACCTTCCAGTCAATCTTGCCGTACGAGGGGCTCGATTGCAGCTCGTAAAACTTGTGTGAGTACTCTAACTGTCGAGTGGCTCCCAAGGCGTCGAACAATTGTTTCGCCTTTGCTGCGATGGATGTTTCACTCTCCCCGGGGTTCTCTTTCTGACAGCGGTATAGTATTGAGCCAGCTGTCCTTTCCCATGCGGGGAAACGGTCTCCAACCCTTCGAGACATACTTCACCGCCATTTTCCACTCCCCGCCTTGGATACATGGCTCGAAAATGCTCTCATGCCAAATGACATCATGGCCCCACTTGTCCTCACTAGTGCAGGCGTATTTGTCATCCAAGAAATACACATTGTTTGGATCCGCACAAAATCTGGGAGGAATCGGATCGCCTGGCGCCAGCTTCGYTRRCTGAGCAGGAATATCAAGRTCATCGTCTTCGTYGTCTTCCRCAGGCGTACATACGACCCGGTCCACACCCGAGGCCACACTGTTCGTGGGTGGCAGGTTCGAGCATCCCTCTGATTGACCCGGTCCATATCCCTTGACGTTGTGCTCCATGGCAGCAGACTTCCCACACCACCCAGGTGCATGGGTGTCCTTTTCGATATCGAGGTCGGAGTCCGACGAGTCTTCGTCGCTGTCAACGGGGTTAAAACCTTCACCCGATTTAGCGAGGTCTACATAGTCCTTAAACGTCAGTTTATCTTTGTGAAGATCAAACCTCAAGATCTCGCATCGAGCAACGAATGTCTCGAAGGCGCCAGTTAAAGCACCGTGATAATGTTTGAGGGCCTCGGTCACCTTGGCTTTCCTATATATGTATCCCCCATCAAGGCGTCCATCCGGCGCATCGCGGAACAGGTATTCCCACACCTTCAGTCGTTTCGGTCCCAACTTGTGGTACATATCCCTGTTCGTGCGATGTGTGGCACGCGGCTTCTCGAGGCGACACTCAAATCTCTCATCCTTAACAAGTATGTCGACGAACTTTGTCAAGTATGCAATGTCCTTGGCCGACTCGTCACAGGCAATGATATTATTACCTGCAAGCAATAACTTCCATACAAGACCCGCGTGTGCCCTACCCAGCAAAAACACACCTTTCGCCTCTCCTACGAATGAACCACACAACTTCCGCAACTTGCCAGGTTCTCGCTCCCAAATTGAATATGCGGCACTTTCGTCGCCCTTGACGCCACCGTGTTTTCCGAGACACTTCCCGAACTTTTCCTCCACAACATGCACTTCGGTGAGATCGTTGTGAAGTCGGGGTGCGACAATTACTTTTGTCAGATCCCCTCCTTCAGCGTGCAACACGATCGCCATCAGGTCCCGACTGCTCGTAGCGATGTTGCCGTACCTTGTGACGTCGCTCGGCGGCCTGTCTACGCGTTTCCATGACCCGGGGATGAGCTCGATGTCCTCCCAACGGTACAATTGACGCAAGACATCGCTTTGCACATTCTGCGGTGCAAAGAAGAAGAGGACCCAATTTGRACCACAACACTTCGCCATCATTGCGTACAGTGCATCGAAGTCCTGCGAGGTCCATGCACTGCTGAAATTCGCGGCCGAGATGTCCACGATGGCGGCCCTGCATGCCATTTTTTGTGCGGCTGCGACGATGTCGACGGGCACCGCCATAACCTACTTTGACCGCATGCATACATGAAGCAATGTGGTCTGCCTGCTGAGTTTGTCCCACACAAGATGGCGTGCACTGGAGGCGATCCGTTTCACCTCCGCTCGAAGCATATCGAGCTTATCGATCGTGGTGTATATAAAGACCTTGAAGTGAAACGGAGCATCCTTGTACATCACTTCTGTAGGCCCCAAGCCCGCACCTTGCCTCGCCTCCTGCACTCCTCCAAGTCGCCGAGGGATCGTCTAATACACATTTCGTAAAAAATGAACTTTTTGTCAAAAAATGAACTATTTCGACTGCGAATAAACACTCAGTACATGGCCCAATAGGGCATCATGCGACACTTTAAATGGTCAGTATATGAGGTGTTGACATGACAAATGTTGCGGGGGGGCGTTTTGAGCCCTTCATATATGAATAGTCGTTATTAAATGCGAATTAACACAGTGTAAAAAAGGGCAGGGGCTCTTTGTATGACACCTTGACAATGTTGTCCTGGCTTAGTGTTGCTCTGACAGACAGTACACGATTCAAAAGGGCATCGTGTTGGGTATGTGGTGCCTGTTTTCCATAAAAGGTCAGGGGTCCGGCGCCCGACACCTTGCAAGTTGATGGACTGAACCTGTCAACTGTGGTCGGGCGGAACACCCAGCCTGGCGCACGACATTTGGCAAGTTGAACCCGTCAGTACCCCTGCAACAATTGTGTCCACCATTTATCTTCTTGGAAGGACCTCCTTCTCCGGTTGACAAATAGTAGTTGAAAAGTGTTACCGAATGATCCGGGAGTTAGTGGTGTTCGACAGAGCACCTTAAGGAAGTGGCAAACAGTCGTTCGCTCTCGATGCCGATTGCTAATAGCACTGTTAGGGGGCCTTGATGCTGGTTCCTGATCTGTTTGGCGATCGAGCAGCTTGAAGAAGTGTGAAAGAGTCATTGGTTGTCTGTGTGGATTGTCATTAGCACTCTTAGGGAATCTTGATGCGAGATCTGATTCCGGGTCGAGATCGAGAGAGAGAGAGAGAGAGAGAGAGAGAGAGAGA